GCTTTAACGTCGTTTCGCGGATGCTCGAAAAGTTTTAACGACTTATTTTTGCGGTAATTAAATTTCAACGTCTTTACGACAGTTCCGAAGAATTCGGCTATGTGGCGCGCGAAGGAGAGAGGGAGATGGAGATAGAGAATTTTCCTCGTCGTCCCCGCAGGACATTCGCCCAAGAATTTCAACAATTAAAGGGTTCCCTGACAGCGACGCTAGGCATCGCGGCGCCAATGAGGCATTTCCGTGTATATTCCCCCTGCGGTCATTTCCGGCGGCACGCATTTATTACGAGGAAAGTTTTCCCGTTCTTCTCGTAACACCCGGTATTTCTAGAATGTACGAAGAACCAATGCAATTACTGGTCGCGCGGGTAACGTAAGGGACACCCGGTAGATTAGAAGCGCGTGGCAGTAAACGGTACTATTACGACTTGCTCGCTTAATTAAATCACGTGGCAAAAAAGTTTTTATATTGATAATAATAATAAACTGGCAGTAATTCATCCTGGGATTTTTTTTTTCAACGATAACCAATAAAATACAGTTGTCGATCATAAGCTTGTCGTTGGGTTTAATACCCAGGGTGATACCTCCTTAAGTATCCGGTCGTAGAAAATGCATTCCTTATCAGGACTCAAATCGTCATCGACTACCTTATCAATCCCAGCCATACCAATGAAGGATCCTTAATAATCAAAATAAAGGATCAAATAGAAAAATGCATCCCTTATCAGGACCCAAATCATCATCGACTACCTTATCAATCCCAGTCATACCAATAAAGAATCCTTAATAATAAAAAAAAGGATCAAATAGAAAAATGCATCCCTTATCAGGACCCAAATCATCATCGACTACCTTATCAATCCCAGCCATACCAATAAAGGATCCTTAATAATCAAAATAAAGGATAAAAAAATGCATCCCTTATCAGGACCGAACTTGTCATCAAGTACCTTATCAATCCCAGCCATACCAATAAAAGATCCTTAATAATCAAAATAGAGGATCAAAAAGAAAAATGCATCCTTTATCAGGACCCAGTTCGTTATCGCCGCCACTCTGAGCTCTACGTCATACATTCCCTCAGTCTACTTTATTATATGCAAAAATCATTCACCCTTGTTCCTATCAGCCAATCAGCAGCCTCGGGTTAGCACGTGCAGAACGGCCGAGCTGATTTCGCGATCCGTATTCACTTTCTCCTTTTTCCTCTTAGCCTAACCGATGTCATCCGTCTAAGGCGGCAATCACTTAAGAACGATAAGTTATCTACGGTCCGAGCGTCGCGACGTCCTATTATCGACAAACCACTCGAGTCTTATTTTTTCGCACTGACCATCACAATGCCAAGCTTGGCCGTAGGAGGTAACTGTGAAAATAAGTAAAAACAATAAAATTAATCCTGCACGTTGATAACGAATCAGATTCGAAAAAAAAAAATTTTTTTTTGCATTTTCACACGAGCGACTATAAACGGTATAAATTTTGACAATTCGCATTATATTCTTAAATTTTGAAATATCAAATTATCCTCTACAATTTTTTGCATCCAACATTATTTTTTCACGAGTCTCTTATTCAAAAAATGACAGCTGATTTTCGAATCGATCATAGAACACCGATTCTACAACTCGTACCCCAGATACACCCATAAAGTCAACATCTGCCGCTGTTCCCCCTTTATATGGGTTCGCGAGTGGACCAATACTCCAGAGTTTACCAGAGTGATTGAGAAACAGACCAGAGCAGGGTTCGGGGGGCAGCGGGACGTCACATCCGGCCATACAAAACAGCCCAGTTGTTCGGCATCGTCAAGGGGTGGCTTATACACGTGCTACAGCCAATAACGATTAGATAATAACAATCCTTTCTTCTTTTAATAATATCCAAAGGGTAGTTTTACATTGGACGAACCAAAAAAGAAATTATTCCTCTATTTTGCTCTTGTTCTCTCGAATAAAGAAAAATCATTATCCGATGTCAAAGTGATACGCATAATTTTAACAGCTACAAGAATCAAATGATACGAGAGTTAATATTTCTTTTTAATATCGAATACACGTCAATCGAGCGTAATGCTTTAATATTTGAACACCCCGTGTGTGAACATTGGTAAACTACCCCTTATGATATATCGGTTATATTAGGATGCAATCTAGAGGCTACAAGGGTTGTCTTTGTGGTATCCATTGGGCCTATAGTCTGTATTATGTTTGCGCGTCTGTCGCTATGTAAATATTATAGTATTTCCTTGTGACGTAATTTTACCTTATATATACAATACAGAAATGACAATTTTGAAAAATAATACCGATAACACTTCATCGGGATGCAACAGTGAAAAATATAATTCAAAGTGAAGAGTGTACCTGGAAAATTATAGGTTTCGAAAAATAATTTTTGATTTCAGCTAAAAAATTTTTTTTTGCGATTTTCAGTAAAATCAAAAAATCACGATGAAAACGACATTTATGCTTTGCGACTCACCCTTGCGTAAAAATTAATGAATCCCTGTTATCTGAACCAAACGATCTATCTGCCACTTTCGGTTGACTTAAAGACCCTAACTCCTTAACAAAAGCACTCCAGCATCCTTATTAAAATTTATCTCCCGTTAACGCGTTGCCAGAGATCTCAGCGAGTCACTTTTGGAAAGCAGTGCTGGGGGTTGTAAATTCACGTAATAGACGATGCGTGAACATCTTCCACCCTCGTGAGAGGCTTTGCCACGGAAACAACCCTCTCAAGTCCTACTGGCATTGTTTAAATAATGATCTACATAATTAAGAAGCGTCGACGGAATAATTAAAAAAAGAAGAATTCAGCTGAAGTCTATTTTTGGGTCAAAATTATTCATTTTCCATTTTTCCACTTTCGTTCGGCTGCAAAATGAATTTATGAAAAAAGTTGGATCTTAAAAAAAAATTCAAAAATTGGAATAAAAATTTGTACAATTTTTATGTATCTCAAAATCATGCTTCCGATTGTTAAAGTAATTTTAGTTTCAGCATATTCATTTTTTTTTCGAAAAAAAAAACTTTAGGGTCACACGCTCCTGCATATATGTATAATGTATATGTATATCAGGACAGCCTAAAGGTCTACTACGCAAGATGAAGAAATCAGATAAATTACAATCGACACGCATCGCGGCCCAAGATTCCCGTTAGTAGAGGATAGCCAATAATTCTTCATGCTAATACAAATTTATCTTTGAGAGCCAATAATCACTATTAATATCGATGACGAAGTTATCTTTCAACTGTTGCTACATATATAATTGTTTCACTGTTATTCCGATTACTCGCGTATTTAACCATAGAAACTCCAACCGTCAGCAAAGCGGATCGCTGGAGTATATTGAAAAAAAAAAGTAAAAATAATCAGCTACTATACAGGTAGCTGCATTCACCTAAAAGTTACTCAGATTACGATCCTCTCATTTTCTCCCCTTAGATCCCTTCGCATTCACTCCACCCCATTTATCTCTCTCCCACCCTTCCAGGTAGCTCGCTCACCACAAAATTTATCTGTTTCTCGCATTAAACCACAGAGGCCCTTGAAAGCCAATTCGAAACTTCATTTTAAGCTTGCGAACTGAAAAATAACTTTTTTTTTTCAAATCGCCCTAGTAAAGGAAAAATTTTGCAAAATTTTACCTCAATTCTAATATTTTTAAAAATAAAATCAGTCAAATAATAAATACGTATTTTTTTTCGCAAAGAGAATTATATCGACGACGTAGAACGACGCTTTAAGTGGACTGGACGTTTCTATATGGTCCAACCTAACCTAACCTTAGTCTCCAGCACGATTCTGATTACCGTGTTACCTAGTCGTGTAGTCGGTGATGGTTAAGGTTATCTCACAGGGCAGCTGGATTGCAGGTTACGTGTTGCTGTTGTTGGACTGTGGCAGCAGCGTTAGGTTGCACCGGCGTAGAGCAGCGCCACGAGCGGAGGTCTCGGGAATCGCGAAGATCCGATCTGTCTGCTGTCTTGGCCACCGATCGTGATCTTCAGCCCTGTAATTACATCGTAATTTATGCGTGGCTACGACGGCGCGTAACCGATCCCCACGTAGACAGCGGGAGGCACTCGTTGCGGAACGTTGAAGAAGAGTGGGGGAACGTTGATTTTCGTTGGATCGTTTCCGATCGAGAAGATCAGGTTAAGATCGAGAGATCGCACGTGCCGACAAAGGATTTTTCTCTGATATCGGTGGAAGCAAAGTGGATTTCTCTAAGGATCCTTGAGAATCTTCGTTCTGCCTGAGCTTGTTGGTTAGATTGAACGTGAGTCCATGTTTATATCCTTGTGTACACATATATGGGAATCGTTAAATCAACTGCTACTTAAATAGAAATCATATTACCTGTATGTTGTTCCAAGCATGCTATAAGTGAAATAAAAAAATCTGGATGAGAAATAAAGATTTACAAATATAATAATCGAGAGTACGTTTTGGTTTTTACGTTTTAATTAAAAGTCACGTTTGTCACTCTCGGTTTTGAAGGGTTAAAAATACAGTCCTCTAACCAGACAGATCCGTTCGTTTGCTCTGTGATTAAAAGAACGACTTCGTGGGGGAAGTATATAAGTGGGGTGGATCGGTCGGGGGAGAAAGTAAAAATAAAGTAACGCGAGGAGGGATTGGAAGGTGGAAAACTTTCAAGGGACGACGCACAACTCAGACTAATAGAACAGCTAGGGAAAAACGAGAGGTGAAAATAGCGTTTCAGTTCGCATAGAATTTCGTGGGAGTGACTGAGAGAAATGAAGGCTGGATCGAACGAGGGGAATAAAGATGGGTTGATAGAGAAACACGAGGGACAGTCTACGAGCAGGAATTATTTTGTATTTCGTGGGTCTACAATGGCAGTATACCCGAGGCACTAAATATATTAGTTAAAGGGGATGCACAGACAGAAAAGCAGATCTAGCGATAAGCCACGATTCGTACAGGCAGTCGTGAGCACTTCGTGTTCGCTCGGGTATTATCGGAATCCGAATGGGGAGACAGTGAGTGGACGAAAATATCCGAGTGCAGCCGAACAGTGCCGAGTGACTTTGTACGTAAATCGTGTCAGTGGGTAGATAGCTTAAAGAAGACGTTTCTTTGCATCTTTTAGATTACAAAGGGAATATAATACATGGTCATGATTACCATATTGATTAGAAGCGACATTCCGGGAAATGCATGATCGTAATCACAGTGACTGTAGCACCGTCGATTCAACCAGTGATCCAAGCAATTTCGAGGTTAAAATGCAGTGAAAAACAATGCTGTCAAGCTACGAAGCACGGGATAACTTTTTGCTTACACTCATACACACAACTGATACGTTTGTTGAGTAAAACAAACGTAGAAGGGGCCGAATAAGAAATTGCGTAAGAATAAAGGACACAGTGCGACAATAGAGTCAGTTTCGAAATAGAGCTGTGCCGGCATCAGGTGGTCGACGTTAATCAACCGGTCGGGACGTCCTGGTTACTGAGTCCATCTCGACTTGAGCCAGTTGCTACGTTAATGGCAGATAACTGGCTAGAGAGACTGTCCCATGCAAATGAGCCACAAGTTATTTTCTACGGTCAAACGGTGAGTACTGTCTTATATACGAAAACATCCTTGTTTAGACCCTGCCGAGCGGCGACGACGATTTTGCACGAGGCGCGACGGAATTACCCGATCGTACGCTCGGGAAACATTTCAGTATGGCGGTTAATGAACGTTCTGGAGAATAGATGTGCCTTTAGCGGGAAGTAGAGTAGTACAAAGAGGGTTAGTGAAACCTCATCCTAAGGGTTTCTCGGCGTGGTGATGATTGCTTACCCTTAAGGGGAGCAAAATTTACCACCCTCTCTCCCTGATACCCGACGCCCGGCAAAATGTAGATATATGCAAAGTGGAATGTTTAATTGAAATATGGACGCAACCTAATGTGGTCACAGTATCAGGCGCTGGCCTGTGTCGAATATTTGTTATGCTAATTGTCAAACGGTTTATTTTTTTTAGCCGGAAAGTCAGTTCCGTGGTTTATGGACAGTGTATAATTTAGTAGTGAAAATAGAAGAACGAGGGAAAGATATACAATAGACTGTGAAGGCAAGAGTTCTATTAATTATGGGAAATGCGTTGTCAGTGTTTCGAGCGTACGTTAAATCTACAAGATTTACAGGTTATCAAGTTTGTATACCCTTTTTGTTATCGTTATTATTTATTTTCATTTTATTTCAAGGAATTTTTTTAAACTTTCACTCAATTTACTCGAGTATCATATTTCGTTTGTTTAATTTATACGGAGCATGATTCTTCCTCTACCTGCTAGCCCCTTTTCCCTGTTCAACTGTCATGGAACTTTCCACGGCTATACCGGACGCCTTGCGGAAAAGCATTGATAACGTAAAGTTCGATTTTCCATAAGGGAGTCCCGCTGGTCTGCATGAGGGTAGACATATACTCGAATGGAATAGGGGTTGCTGAAACCTCCCTGTAATCTCTAAGGCCATGCGTCAGGCTAATCCTTAGTCCATACCAACTGGGCCATATTCCACCGTCCCTTAATCTAGATGTCCCTAGTGTCGAATGCGCTAAGGACTTCTTACTAGTAGAAAAGGTGACACTTAATATCCTTCCCCCCTTTCTTTTTCATCCCTCTCCCTTTCTCTACTTTCGAAAGTACCACAGAGAGACGAGTCTCATTGTTCAGTTACATTGTTACTTGTAACACCCTGTAGGAACGATCGTGACAAGGAATAATTTCTATTTAAATTAAATGGCCCGTGAGAAATTCTCTCTACCTACTCCGTGTTCTACACAAATGAAAGTACTTAAATAAGGGTGAAGGGTTGCCAACAAAAAAAAAAAAAAGATTTACCACGACTTTTATATCCTGTCACAATTGAGCATCCGACAGCAAGTAATCGTCAAGTGATACAATAATAGAAGTTATCGACTTCAGCGTATAGCGAAGGGTGAGTAATTAAAATCATTGATTTCTACAATATTTCTTAAGGGTACGTCTCACGGAATTAATAAATTTCAACTGGGAATCGAACGATCGTCTGGCCAGGTAAAAAATTATTGTTTGGGTTTAATCTTTTGAAAATTAAGCAAAAAAATTATTCTTCGCCAGACCGTGACGCCTCGGTGCAATGGCAATGGCGTCCGAGCGTTCATCTACCAGAACAAACCGCAAACCAAACTTATTTCTCGAGCCTTTGGTTTTCACGATCCTCCAGGGATGCTGGACTTCGTGAACTGAAGAAAAAAGTGCGTCAGCGAGATTGGGGATTGAAACTTTCCCGAAATTGGATGTGTCAAATCGAGCAAGTATCTCAAAGTCTTATCACGCATCTCGCAGGCGTGCATGCAATGTTTAACTTTTAACAGGAGTAACCTAACCTGTCTTTGAATTTATTAAAATTCATAATTCCCATAAAAGGAAGAACATTGGCGCATAAAACGTCACTGTATTCCTGATGAATGACGCGTATGACGTCACTGGCTCGTAACTATCATTCATTAACGTCACAACTGATTGAAAAATTATTAAAAAAAAAAATCCAAAGTACAATCAGCACAATTAAATACAATGAAAATTTACGAGATATCGACGATAAAATTTCCCGAATCTTCATCATACGTTATATCCCCACGTAAAATCGTCCGTTTGAAAATTCCCCATGTTCGTCATAAATTCCCTCGATCGATCGACAACAGGATATCTGTTTTTCGACTTCAGTGATATAAATTCGGTCGATCGTCAATGAAAATTGCATATGACGTCATTTTGAATAAAAAAAAAAAAAGAAAAACGTCGAAACGTCATAGGTGTCCTCACTCTCGACATTTACGATCACGTAAAATGTACCGACTTGAATTTCCTAACGGATCCACTTCGGAAATCCCTTCTATCGTCCCAATATTCAAATATGGTTACCGTTACTGCCGTAGTACGCGTCACGCATCTCTAGATGGCGCTGCGATCGTTTCCTTCGGCTCGCGTAATATACCTATATCTACTACCCTCAAAACACCTTCTGACTCCCTTCGTAACCCCCCACCACCCCCCCATTGCTTTTAAAGTATATATCATATATCTATTCGGAAAATCCCTAGTAAGCCAATCGCTGAGCAACCTTACTCGAGAGATATGGCGCCGCCTGGCGACCTCACTTGGGCATAACCTCTCCATTACTCATTCCCATAACGGCCTGCCCGGACATAACCTCTTTTGGAACCCTCTAAATACACCGCGTCGGGCATCGGTCTGACTTACGGCGACTTTTCAACCCCAACATGAATACTTGGCCCGCGGCTATTTTTGGGGATCGTTCTTACGTTACGTATTGCGCCACAAGACCCTTATCCCCACTTTTTTTAATATTCCATCCCCCCCCCACCCCACCCCCCTTCACGAATGCCATCGCGATAGATCATTAACCCATAGATTCCTACGGGGCGTATGCTTACGGTATCTATAGTTCCGGGCCCGAGGAGAAATGGGAATATCAAATTTACTCGATATATCAAAATAATGGGGCAATGGAAAAAATACCCTTAAGACCACTTACGTTGATCGTTAATAAATTTGACGTCGTAAAGGGCAACGTTTATTATACTGTTGCTGATTGTTGATTTTGGAAAAAAAAAAATAAGCACGGTAACAGTACCCCGGTAAATATCACGTATGACGACACGAGTAAGAAAAGTGACGACGCTCGTCCGGGCGTCCCGACGCCTCGTGAAATTATCACACGTATGTCAATTTCGTCGGGTGAGTTTTTTTTTTTTTTTTTTTTCCAAAAATTGATACACCCATTTTTCGATACCCATAATTACGCTTAATCGTGGAATCGAGGGATTAAGGTAAATTGAGGTTAAAAAAATAATTATTCATCTTCACTTACGTTAAGGATCGAAATGTCTGCTGTGACTGACTCGAAGCCTTAAGCGATGGCTGCGTATCTTTGATTCTAGACACGATATCTATAATTATAGATACACAAGAACTGTTTCTTGTTATAGCCAATGACCTGCACAAACGGGACGGCTATTGGTTTTCATTCGATTCACGTAATTGGTTATCTGTCTGATGGTTACGGCGGCGGGGCGAGGGGGGTGGTCGGGGGGACAGTCGATGCGCCAGTCCGTCTATAATGATCGACTTCTTGTTTATTCGAGAGGAGTATTTAAATAACAGATAATCACGAAAGTGATATTAGCTTTTTCGTAGAACGCCTTGTCACCAGGCGTCGCGACGCCCTCGTACCTGATCGATCCATTGGACAAGTCAGGTACGAATTGATATAAATGACAGTGTTCGTTAATAATTAAAAGCTCGATCGAAATTGATTTATTGAGTGAATCTGGCATTACTGAACAGCTATTGTTACTCTTGATGCTCGATTGGAGATTTTTGAGTGATCTTATACGACATTTTTTTTTTTTGGAAAAAATCGATTTTTTATTTTTGAGTTTTGAAAATTTTTTATTTTTTATATTAAATTTATGGATCGGACTTGTTGCCGTGGACCAAGCGGCGGTCGTTTGATGCGACCATTTAGACGATTAATTAGCTGGTTATCACGTAAAATCATTATAGAATTTTGTATACAATCGGTAGCGACGATAGCGATCGAAAGGTATTATGGGTATTCGTTTTAAGTATTTTTGGTAGCATAACTGAGCGCGTGACTGAAATTTTAGGGGAAAAAAAATTTTACGGAAGAAAATTTGAAAAATGATAATAATTCATAGCCAGCGAACAGTTTATTCGTTTATTCTCGTTGGATCGATCGGAGGTACCGATGCATTTCGACTTATCGATTCTCAGCTCGATTACGTAATAATCGACGAACATTGAAAGTTCGAAACTTGCAAATTGGATGGTTCAAAATGCCAAACTAATCTTGATCCTCGTTGTACGCGAATCGGCAGTTACCGTAAACGATCGTTAACGTTCAAATTCAATGAGCACCTTCATCGGGCACTTAACGAATCATTATTTCTTTTTTCTCAACACAGATTCAAGCAGCATCCTCGTATCTTTTCCATTCGTAATCCGGCATCTTCGTTATCTAAATTAGAAGGGGCCTGTCAATTTGCTCGAGAGTAGAACGAACGGTCGAATAAATTGGAAAAAAAAATTAATTGCGATTAATTTGAGTGAAAAATAAAGAGGAAATTTTTTTTTTTTTTTGGAAAAAAAATTTCAAAATTTTTTTCCATTGTCTCGTCCCACGGCAGTCGTGAAAATCCAATAATATAGAGAATCGGATCAATTTTTTTTTATGTACAATTTCATTTTTCCCCTCATTGGATTTACATATCTTTTACTTTTTCTTTTTTTCATCTTTCCCCTCTTTTTCCATTAGTCCTATATATCTGGTCAATTCACAGAATATATTCCCGATAGTCTCTCGTCATTGAGCCTTCTAGGAATCGTGTCGAATTTAATTACGCGTGTTTAACCGGCTCTTGTATTTGTCACTATTTTCCGCTTTGTCGGCCTCTTTATCTCGTGGGTCGGCGTGAGGATTAAACGGCCCGCCAGGGCGGTAACCAATCGCAACAAATTTATTCCTCTTACATAT